GGGTGGGTGGGTGGGCAGGTAGGTAGGTAATTGTTCACCAATGAATGAGTATTTTTAAAAAGTGAACTGGGGGAGGGAAAGGAGGCAAAATGTGCAACAATGAATGAATGAACATCTAACTTCTCTGTAAACATTCGTTAAAATCATAACATAAAATTTTCTTTTAAAAAATATCATTTGGAGGGAGAGCTCAGTTGGGAGTGAAACGCAGAAGCAGCATGTTATTGATATAAATAGAAGGCAAAAATCCACTGCTGTCAAGTCAATTCCATCTGATCGTGACCTTCCACCAGGTTTCTGAAGCTTTAATCTTTATGGGAGGAGAATGCCCTTTTGTTTCCAGCAGACCGTTGGGCGCATTCGAACTATAGACCTTTTGGTTAGTAACCTAAGGGCTTAGTTCTTCACAAAGATTTGTCTGGACACAAAAGCTAGCCAGGCTCCCTTTACTTTCAGAATTCATCCTGGAAAAGATTTTTAAAATCGATGTCAATACCATTAATCGTTCTCATTGCCATTGAGTGGGAACCGACTTGTAGCTCCAGCGGATTTCCGGGGCTGTAAAGCACACAGGAAGCATCTGCTCCTCTTTCTTTCACTGGTAGAGCTGCTGGCACAGTTGAACCACCAGAAAGGCATCACTTTAGGATTAGCAACAAAGGCCCCTTCATTAACCATCAGAGAACAAGGAGGCATCGCGCCACTCCCACTAGGACGGCTATAATCAAAAGACATGACAAATGTGCTGAGGAAGCTCTGGTGACCTAGTGATAAGGAGTTGAGCTGACAACCCTAAGGCATGGAGTTCAAATCCACCAGCTCCTTCTTGGGAGAAAGATGGGCAGTCTCCTCTGAAAACCTGCTAGAGGGCCAGTTTTGAGTCGGTTCTGACTCAATGGCACATAACAACAACAATAACAGCAAGAGGAGTGAGGATGTGGAGAAAGTAGAAATGTAAAATGGCATAAATACTGGAGGAAAAAGCTTGTCATCTCCTTAAAGAGTTTCTACAAGATCTAGTCATTTCATAACAATGTGTGTACCCAAGCGCAGTAAAGCCATACGTCCCCACTCACACCTGTGCACAAATGTTCATCATTAATCATGAGAGGGCAAGCCTGAAAACAACCCAAATGCCGACCAAGAGAGGAACTAATAAACAAGTATGGGAAATGCGTGCAATGTGATATTATTGGTCATAAAAAGGCACGAAGAGCTGACACATGCTACAACATGGATCAACCTTGAGAACATCATGTAAAGTGAAAGAAGGCACACGATCATATGATGCCATTGACATGAGATGACCAGGAAAGGAAAACCCAGAGAGAGCGTGACCGGTAGTCTCCATGAGCTGGGAGGGAGCGGGAGGGGACAGACTGCTACGGAACGCAGAGGGGTGGGGTGGGGGTGATGAAAAGGTTACAAAACTTTTCACATCTCTGTGAATTTTTTTTAAAAAACGAATAAATTGTGCTGATGTTAGATGGATCTTGGCTGAAAGCAGAGAATACCAGAAGAATGTCTATCTGTGTTTCATTGATTATGCAAAGGCATTTGACTGTGTGGATCATAACAAACTGTGGCTGACTCTGAGAAGAATGGGAATCCCAGAACATTTAATTGTGCTAATACGAAACCTATACTTGGACCAAGAGGCAGTAGTCAGAACAGAGCAGGGTAACACTGCATGGTTCAAAATTGGGAAGGGTGTACGCCAGGGATGCATCCTGTCTCCATACCTTTTCAACATGCATGCAGAGCAGATTATCCGAGAGGCTGGGCTCTATGAGGAGAATTGTGGCATCAGGATTGGTGGAAGATCTATTAACAATCTGCGTTATGCAGATGACACAACCCTGCTTGCTGAAACTGAGGAGGACCTCATGCACTTGCTGCGAAGGGTCAAGGACTGTAGCCTTCAGTATGGACTGAGGCTCAATGTCAAGAAGACAAAGATTCTCACCACTGGACCAATTGGCAGCATCAGGATGGATGACGAAGAGATTGAGATTGTTCACAGCTTCAGTTTGCTCGGCTCCACAGTCAACACTCTTGGTACCAACAGTCAGGAAATCAAAAAGCATATCGCGATGGGAAAGTCTGCTGTTAGGGACCTCTCAAAGGTACTCAGGAGCAACAGTGTCTCTCTGGAGACTAAGGTGCACCTGATACAGGCCATGGTATTTGCAATTGCTTGTTATGCATCATAGAGTTGGACAATGACTAGGGAGGACAGAAGGAGAGTGGATGCTTTTGAGCTGTGGTGCTGGAGAAGGGTACTGAATGTACCCTGGACTGCCAGGAAAACAAACAGATTCATCTTGGAGAGGATTAAACCAAGCTACTCCTTGGAGGCAAGGATTCTGGGGCTTCGTCTGACATACTTTGGACATGTTGCCAGGAGGGACGGGTCCTTGGAGAGGGACATCATGCTTGGGAGGGTGGAGAGACAGCGCAGGAGGGGAAGACCCTCTATGAGGTGGATTGATTCAGTGACTGGGGTAATCGGGATGGGTGTATCGGAGGCGGTGCGGTTGGCGCAGGATAGAGCAGGGTTTAGGGCTGTTGTGCATAGGGTCGCTATGAGTCGGAAACGACTTGACGGCACATAACAACAACAACAACAACAACAATAAATTGTACACTTAAAAGAGTAGACTTTGTTACATTGATTATATCTTAATAAGTTTGTTTGAAAAATATTCAAACAAAAATAACTATGATTAGAACTAAGGCACAGAATAAAATGTTTTAAAAACTTAACAAAGCAGCAGAAATTTTTAAAAAGGAACAAGGGCCATATAGAAGTGTTTAAAAATAAAAACTGACAGTAAATTAGGATATTACACTCGGACATTGGGTTTCTCTGCAAGCTATTGGGCATCTGAGTGGTTTTCTCGTTGGAGTCATTATGAATCATGCTGCTGTGAACACTTGTGGACAGGATTTATTGTGACTATTTTCTCTCTTGGGCTTTGCACTAACTTAAATTCATTTTCAAAATTATAATGACTACTTAAATACTCCATTGGCTCAGACTAAGGAAACAGAAGAATGAACATGAGTGAAGTGAAAAACAAAAATTACACACACGTAATCCATGATTTCAAAACAGAACAAACACATACAAATTAAAAAAAAAAACAACAACACACCAACCCATTCATTTTCATATTAAACAAGGTCTGAAAATACAAATGTGCATGCGATAAGGACAGTTATCAGGAGATGCCTGTCCCTGGAGAAGCACCTCATACTTAAGGAAACAGGTAAGGAAAGAGGAAGACCCTTAAGGAGACGAGTTGACGTTGTTGTTGTGTGCCATCGAGTCACTTGCGACTCATATCAACCCTAGGTATAAGAGCTCTAAACCCTGCTCTATCCTGTGCCAACCTCACCGTCTTTGGCACAGCAGAGATGGCAAGGAAGGGGCCAGGGCAGGGCTCTGTTCTGCTGTACTGGGGTCACTGTCTGTCAGCGTTGACTCAACGGCCCCACCACCCAAAATCAACAATAGGACTTACATGAGAGGAGACAGAACAAAATGCAAGCAATCATAATAGAAATAAAACTAAATCCGAAACAGTTACTTCTCTCTTTACAATCAATTATTATGCAAATAGTTATTTTCCTAGGTTTTAAAAAGAAATACATTCATCTATGAGTAAGAGTATGATGTAAGAGGTCAAGGAAAGTAACGTTATATTTGAATACTGGCAGCTGAAAGGTGTATAAAATGAGTACTCACTGTGTAAATCGACAGGCTAACAGTCTGCCTCGCCGTGGTCCTGTTCCTCCGACAAGCGCATCCTTTATCTTCACTGTGAGTTTTGAGATAGATCAAGTTTTCTTGTTTACTTGGATTTTCTCCACAGAAAGATTGACTCAAATGAAATTTCCACTCTGGATACAGCATCCAAGTTCAAATGGGCATGCTTATGATGGTTCAAAAGTTCTGAGCACACAAATAATTCCTGAGTTGAAGTGCTTTCGCCGTCGAAGCTTAAAAAGACACTTTTTTACGGTTGACACGCACTGTTTCAGCCTGGACGAGATGACTTTGTCTCCTCCATGGAGTCTCCACATCTGACTGAGCCCAAAAGAAGAGGTGACTCCACCCCACATGACCCACAGGATGTGGCGTCTTTTCCACTCCTTGGGGTGACGTGCCTGCAACTCTCACAGGAAGACTGTCGTCCTAGGCAGTGGGACAACTGGTGCCCCAAAGCAGGAGATGCTGCACAATGACCCCGTATAGAGATGGAGCTTTCAGGAGCTCTGCCACGCAGAAAAGGGGGTGCTACAAAACGCCCTCTTCTCCTTCTCTGAACTGGTTGGAAACCCCTGCACCTGCCAATTCTTCTTGGGAAAGTGTCTCCGAGTCTCACGTGAGTGCCCTGGGCCATCCAGTATAAAAGCTCTGTTGAATCTTGTTTAAGTCACATAGTTATCAATATTTTTTTATATGTACTACTACCATAAGTCTAGTACTATTCTGTGGGACGCACTTATGGGTACATCTGGTGGCTTAGTGGTAAGGAATTGTGCTGCCAACCTGAAGTCCCATAGTTTGAATCCACCAGATGCTCCACAGAAGGATGGGTAATCTCCTCCCTTACAATTTACTGCCTCTGAAAACCTACTGAAGGGTCACTGTGGGTCAGCTCCAACTTGACTGTCCACACCAACATCAATAGCCAGAAGCACAAATGAATACCACCTGTGTTTCAGCTAAGTATCTGGCCTGGGCTGGACCAAGGCGACCTGACCTCACACAGGACACACAGTTCCTTTCACTTCAGGCAAACAACGAATACCTTCTTAGTGTAAACATGTCCCTTATGACATGTAGCAATCCTAGCCGTAGTGATTGATTATGAAAGAGAAATCTCTGTGGTCACAAGAGACTCAGTCCTGGTCACCTGCAGCCTTTGGGCCCCTCCTCTAGAATGCAGCACGTTGGGTAAACAGATATCATTGAGAGAGAGTCGGCTTACCTTCCTCTGGGAGGCACTCAGGGGTCCCGCTGGAGCCCATTATCCGGTTGCCATCTTCATCATGCTTTTCAATGGTGCCAGGGGGACAGGTGGGAGCTGAGGTGGTGGTGGGCGCAGGGGTGGTGGTGGTGGTGGTCCGGCGGGTGGTGGGCCGTGTGCGGGTGGTGGGCCGTGTGCGGGTGGTGGGTCGCATGCGGGTGGTAGTGACTCGTGGGCGGGAGGTGGTGGTGGTCCGCTGGGTCGTGGTCCGCCTGGTATGGGGGGTTGTCCGCCTGGTTGTGGTGGTCGTAGGTCTCGATGTTGTAGTGGTGGGCAGAGGGGTGGTAGTGGTGGGCAGAGGGGTGGTAGTGGTAGGAAGAGGGGTGGTAGTGGTGGTGGGCTTCATGGTCGTGGTGGGGGCACGGGTGGTTGTTTTGATGACCTCTAAGCCCACCAGAGGCTTTCCTCCAAGGCTCAAAATGGGCCTGTCTGGGGCACTTGCCAGGGGTTTGCCATGGCGCCCCTGCCCGAAGAGGGGAAGGCCGTCTGGGCTCACCACAGGGGTCCCTCCCATATCTGAAATAAAACCAAACAAAACTTAAGTGACTCAGAAATAATACCAGAAATAATGAACTAGTCTTTGCAAAGCATATGTGGTCGTGTGCTTTGGTTACTAAAAGACAAAGGCATATATGTAAAAAGGATATCAGCTGAGGTAGCAACAGCTGCTACCACCCAGACATTTCTAGGCTTATTATATTACCCATTACTGCATATGGCCTTATCTAAGCTCATGAAGACTTCCTTACCTCAAGATAACGCATCATTTCTAAGGTATGTGGCTGAGTCAATTCTGACCCATAGTGACCCTGCAGGACGATACAGAACTGCCCACAGGACTTGCTGGGTAATAAGCTTTATAAGAGCAGTTTGCCAGGTCCTGTCTCTCATTGATTGGCTGGTGGTTTCGAACTGCAAACTTTTTGGCTAACAGTCCAATGCTTAACCATTACACCATCATAGACGCAACTGTTGTTGTTGTTGTTAGGTGTCTTCATGTTGAGTACAACCCATAGTGACCCAGTGAAGGACAGATCTGAACCTTGCCGACCCCGTGACGTCCTCATCAACTCTGATATACGCCAGTCCATCGTTACAGTCCCAAACCACCTCCCTGAGTATCTTCCTTGCTGTTGTTGACCCTGTGATTTTCTAAACATGATGTCTGGACCCCTCCTAACAACATAGCCAAGAGATGTGAAAGGGAACTTCAGTGAGCTCTGGTGACCTAGTGGCAAGAAGCTGCAACTGCAGTCTCAGAGGTGCACACCAGATGCTCTACTGGAGAAGGAGGAACAATCTCCTCCCGTACCAGTCAGATCCGATTTGATGGTACACACAAAAAATAATAAAATTAAAAAAAGAAAAAAGGAAACTTCCTCATCCTCACCTCTAAGGAGAATCCTGGGAACATCCTGACCTCTAGGGTGCAGCCTGGGAGCATCCTCACCTCCAGGGAGCACCCTGGGAACAATTTCTCCCAGACAACTTCGTTTGTTCTTTTGGCTGTCCATGGGATATTCAATACTGTTCTCCAGTATCATAGTCCAAAGGCATCAATTCTTTTTCTGTCATCTTTTTTTCCCTGTTCAATTTTCAGCAAAAAACTGAAAAAAAAAACAACAACAACAACAACCATGGCTTGGATTATGTGCACCTTAGTCTTTAAACTGAGAGCTCTGCCCTGTAGCGCTCTGAAGAGACCCTTTACAGTAGATTTCGCAGTGTGTGCCTTTTTGATTTCTTAATTGCTGATATCAAAAGCGTTGGTGATGGACACAAGCAAGATGATATCCTTGACAATTTCAGTCTCTTCTCCGTTTATCATGATGCGGACTCTCGATGCCTTGTGCCGAGGATCTTTGTTTTCTTGATGTTAAGGTGTAATCCACATTGAAGGCTGTAGATCTTCTGCAGCGACTGTTTCATAGTGTGCTCACTTTCAGCAGAGTTGTGTTATCTGCATAAAATAGGTTGTTGGTGAGTCCTCTGATCCTGAGGTCACATTTGTCTTCATAAAGTCCAGCTTCTTGAATCGTTTGCTCAGCTTCAGATAGAACAAGTATAGATAAAGGATACAGCCTTGACAGATACATTTTTTTCTTCCTGTATGAGATTTATTATTTTTTCACATTTTTTATTTTTTTACATTACTCTGATTTAAGTAATGTAAAAAAATAAAAACAATTAGAAATTGTTAAGAAAGAAATAGAATGCATAAATATTGACATATTAGGCATTGGAGAGATGAGATGGACTGGCATGGGGCATTTTGAGTC